CTTGCTACCAACACATTTCAAGCTAATAGGTCTGTAATTAGAAGCGTCATAGGTGCTTCCTTTTTTATGAATGGGAACTATATGGGACAATTTCCAAATTTTGGGATTAAGGCCAGACTTCATAATATTTTTATAAATTAAAAATAGAGGAAGTCTCAGAGAGACTGCGCATTTTTTATAAATTATTTGTGGAATGTTATCGGGACCAGCTGAAATGGACGGCTTAAGTTTATTTAAGGCATCATAAACATCCAGTAGTGTTATTTCAATCTCGCAGAGAGAAGTGCAACAAATTCGATTTACGTTAAAACAGGAAGTATGAGTATTATCCTCAATAAACACTAGAAAAATAATGATTAAATACATTTGCAATATCAATATCAAAGGTGATCACATTATCATTATGTTAAATTGTTTACGTGGATTTGCAAATTTTCTTTTGATATAGGTCCAGAAAGAATTTCTATCAATATTTAAAAGTTATTCTTAATTATGAATGGCGCTACGGAAACTTTCTTTATATGCAGAGAGGTCATTTGGCAATTTGGTTAATTGATATTTATTATAAAGCTTCTTGATACTTGTCTCAAGGGATTTTAGAAAAGTGGGAATCGACCTAATGTTCGTTTTTCTTAAAGGGATATATTGTTCTATTAGATATAAAATGATGAAAAAATTAACTTAATTAAATTAAAAAAAAATTAACTATTAAGAAAATTAACTTTTTCATCGATAGAGGGAGTTAAACAGAATAAGAAATCCCAGTTTATTTCTGCGAGGATAAAATTAAAGATTTCATAATTGCAGTGACGGTAACTTCTAAAAAATCTTAAGGGAGGTGAATAACGGTCTAATTTTAATGAAGCATGAATGATACTGTGATCACTATTACAAAAATGTTCCAAGACTCTAATACTAAGAGAGGTAGGAGTAGCTAACAAAACATCTAATATAGTGTTGTACCTATTGACGACCTTAACATGTTGCTCTAGATCAACATAGGTACAAAAGTTTAGAAAGTCCTCTTCAAATTTGTTGCTACTTTTTAAACAACTATTTTCCCAATCTATGTTTGGCATATTAAGATCACCTACAATTACATAATCAGTTCCAATTAATTTTAATTTGAGTAACAAGTTGTAAAGGTCCCTAGTGAATTTGCTTCCATAGCCCGGTGGGCGGTATAGATTTAAAAGGGAAATATTTCTGTTATTAAGATAAATTTTAATTATCAAAGATTCATAAGAGGAGCAAACATAATCATCAAAGGTTATAAATTTATAATAATCAGGAATAAGCA